TAATAAAAAAATATATATACCTTTGAAAAAAAATTACACACTCATAAAAATATAGCATTTCATTAATACTCCACCACCTATTCAAGTCATCAACATAGTTCACTAATATTATAATGCAAAGTTTACAACCATAGTTCACTAATTCAAACTTCAAACACCAAAGAGACTTTTAATCCAAATTTCTAACATCCATTTTGAACTCAATCATTAAAATTAATCAAGATTCAGAAATTTTTATACAAAAAAAAATTAGTGTCTTATTTAAACAAAACGACGTCGTTTCAAAAAAAAAAAGTATTGCGCGTATCGGTCGTATCGTACCGATACGTATCGTATCGTACCGATACGTATCGTATCGTAAAAATGTATCGTGTATCGGACGATACGACGCAAAAATGATACATAACTACGATCCGTATCGTAACACATCGTACGATACTAACAACTATGGATTTGAGGAATAGTGATTGTTGACTTTTTGTGGTTCTATTTGCTGTGATCAGTGCCAAAAATACTGTTCACATAATGTGAACAGTACCAAAGTTACTATTCATGCCGTGAACAGTGCCGAACTCAATTTTTTATGTCATTTTTGTTGTATTATTGTGTAAGAAACTTCAATTTGTTATGGATATTTGATTTGCAAAGCCGTTGAGTTGATTTGTGGTGAACTTTTGACTGTTTGGCATTGGCTGCTTCTTTTGGTTCTAGTTTCTGCACTTGGCTTCGTTGATATTCTATTTGGGTCTTGTTTTGAGTTTGAAAACAAAACTTTGACTTTGCACTTATTTTGGATTATTTGAGTTTTGTTTTGTTTGGCACTGTTGTAGGTGGTTTTTGTTGGACAACCCCAATCCTTTGGGTTTGTTGTTTTGGGTTGGTGCTGATTTAGGCTTCTCTCTGTTGGGCTACTGGTTTGACTTTTCTTCTTTCTTTTTTTAGGCATTGTTGTTGGTAGTTTTTTGTTGGACAACCCCAATCCTTTAGGCTGGTGCTGATTTGGGCTTCTCTCTGTTGGGCTAGTTTGGCTTTTCTTCTTTCCTTTGTTGGGCTTTACTTTGTTGGACATTATTGCTGGTGGTTTTTGTTAGATAACCCCAAACCTTTGAATTTGTTGATTTGGACTTTTCTATTGGGCTGTTGGTTTGACTTTTCCTCTTTGTTTTGTTGGGCATTGTTACTGATGATTTTTGTTGGGCAACCCTAATCCTTTTGGTTTGTTGATTTGAACTTCTTTCTGTTGGGCTGCTGGTTTGGTTTTTCTTCTTTTCTTTTTTGGACTTTGTTTTATTGGTCATTGTTGCTTGTGATTTTTGTTGGGCTTTGATTTTTTGTTGAAACCCTCATTGCTATTTGGGCCTTAATTTGTTAAGCCTATACTTGGAGTTTTTGTTGAGTTTATTATTTTCTTCTTCTAAGTCTCTGGAACTTCGTACTTACTCTGATGCGGACTAGGCTAGTGACTCTATAGATCGCAAGTCCACTATTGGTTTCTGTCTCTTCCTTGGTGATTCTCTTATTTCGTGAAAAAGTAAAAAACAAACTGTTGTGGCTCGATCATCTACTGAAGTTGAGTCTCATGCTATGGTCTTCACAACAGCAAAGATAGTTTGGTTGCGTTGACTACTTATTGATCGTTTCTTTACGAAATCTCACACCATCGCACACTTTCGTTTCCTTCTTAGCAAACTCTTGATATTTGATGTTACCACATCATGGGTTTGGGGGAGAATGTTAAAGTATTTATATTCTAGGTAGTTTAGGCATTTTACATTGTTTTGTTGNCGATACATAACTACGATCCGTATCATAACACATCGTACGATACTAACAACTATGGATTTGAGGACTAGTGATTGTTGACTTTTTGTGGTTCTATTTGCTGTGATCAGTGTCAAAAATACTGTTCACATAATGTGAACAGTACCAAAGTTACTATTCATGCCGTGAACAGTGCCGAACTCAATTTTTTATGTCATTTTTGTTGTATTATTGTGTAAGAAACTTCAATTTGTTATGGATATTTGATTTGCAAAGCCGTTGAGTTGATTTGTGGTGAACTTTTGACTGTTTGGCATTGGCTGCTTCTTTTGGTTCTAGTTTCTGCACTTGGCTTCGTTGATATTCTATTTGGGTCTTGTTTTGAGTTTGAAAACAAAACTTTGACTTTGCACTTATTTTGGATTATTTGAGTTTTGTTTTGTTTGGCACTGTTGTAGGTGGTTTTTGTTGGACAACCCCAATCCTTTGGGTTTGTTGTTTTGGGTTGGTGCTGATTTAGGCTTCTCTCTGTTGGGCTACTGGTTTGACTTTTCTTCTTTCTTTTTTTAGGCATTGTTGTTGGTAGTTTTTTGTTGGACAACCCCAATCCTTTAGGCTGGTGCTGATTTGGGCTTCTCTCTGTTGGGCTAGTTTGGCTTTTCTTCTTTCCTTTGTTGGGCTTTACTTTGTTGGACATTATTGCTGGTGGTTTTTGTTAGATAACCCCAAACCTTTGAATTTGTTGATTTGGACTTTTCTATTGGGCTGTTGGTTTGACTTTTCCTCTTTGTTTTGTTGGGCATTGTTACTGATGATTTTTGTTGGGCAACCCTAATCCTTTTGGTTTGTTGATTTGAACTTCTTTCTGTTGGGCTGCTGGTTTGGTTTTTCTTCTTTTCTTTTTTGGACTTTGTTTTATTGGTCATTGTTGCTTGTGATTTTTGTTGGGCTTTGATTTTTTGTTGAAACCCTCATTGCTATTTGGGCCTTAATTTGTTAAGCCTATACTTGGAGTTTTTGTTGAGTTTATTATTTTCTTCTTCTAAGTCTCTGGAACTTCGTACTTACTCTGATGCGGACTAGGCTAGTGACTCTATAGATCGCAAGTCCACTATTGGTTTCTGTCTCTTCCTTGGTGATTCTCTTATTTCGTGAAAAAGTAAAAAACAAACTGTTGTGGCTCGATCATCTACTGAAGTTGAGTCTCATGCTATGGTCTTCACAACAGCAAAGATAGTTTGGTTGCGTTGACTACTTATTGATCGTTTCTTTACGAAATCTCACACCATCGCACACTTTCGTTTCCTTCTTAGCAAACTCTTGATATTTGATGTTACCACATCATGGGTTTGGGGGAGAATGTTAAAGTATTTATATTCTAGGTAGTTTAGGCATTTTACATTGTTTTGTTGCCCTACTATATAAGGGCCTATATTGTGTATTCTAGATTAAGGAGTATTACAAACTTATTTAGTAATTATCATATTTTCTCTCTCTTTTTGCTCTTCTTTATTTGATCAAAATTTACATAACAGCATTCATGGTAGATCCATAATATAAATGGTACCCTTCCTGCTATATATATAGATGTCAAATAAATTACTTCAAAATCAACCAATCACTATTTTTTCCCGTTTGGCCTTGGGGGGATTTAATTCCACGATCGGAAGGAGGGAGAGCACCTCTTGGAGACCACTTGAAGCCACCCAGGCTAGGCTCATGGTGGTTTATAATTACTGCTAAGGTGGAAATAACTCAACTAGCAACGGTGCCTACAAAATATATATCAAGTTCTACATCATAGAAATTTCGACAACAAAGCAACTGTGCAATGGCACTCATATGCAACGTAATGCAGAAGATTCGTTAACAAAGGCATAGCAACATCATCATGATTCAAAAAAAAGTCAAGGACCAGTGATCCCTAACTTAAAGCAATATTAATTTATAAAAAAAAAGGAGGTACAAACATACCTTGATCATTTCTAGCAGTGAACACAATCATTGCAGTCTCATCACCAACCAAGCATTCAGCAAGCCGCATTTGGCGTCCTTGAGTTCCTTCGGCACGACCTCTTTGCAATATCATCTTTGCATTCACAACCTTTACAATGAGGTTAAGCCCAGTAGTTGCAGGGCGAAGCTGCTCAACCTTGATGAAAACTGGCTGTTTTTCCTTTCGTTCGGCCATTTGTAACAAAACCCTTAGGCATACCGATTAACATTACAAACCAATCAGACGTTTAAAAGAACATACACACACACACAAAAAAAAAACAGTAAAATGGCACAAGGAGCAACAAAGTAGATTCATTCCAAAAAAGGCAACAAAATAGAATCCTTAAGAAACATCAAACTAAAGCTGGCACAAGGAGCAACAAAGTAGATTCACACCAAAAAAGGAAACAAAATAGAATCCTTAAGAAGCATCAAACTATAGCACACGAGGGTGAGAGAGAGAGAGAGAGAGGGCAGATCATAATTAGGAGAATCAATCAAGCAAAGCCTCCCGAGCTTGAATTTTCGCAGGCTTGGTTCGAGTTCATATCAGGGTGTTCATATTCGGCCCAAGCTTGATCACGAGCTTGGATTTTTTCTTGGGCCTGGCTTGGCCAAAGCTGGCTCGAGATCGGCTCAGCTCGTTTTTCACAAAAACAGTATCGAGCTTATGCTCAAACTTTGGATTGGTTCGCATGTAGATTTGAAACCATTCCAAACTAAACCAAATCCTTCCCCCATCTCCAATACAACCCCAAACCACTTTTCAAAATGTGAAGCCTGACCTGTTTCTAGTGTCCAACAGCCCCTTATTCTGATCAAACAAATTCCTTTTTGAAATAAAACCCAACAATTTAACAAATCATTCAAAAGTGGAATTTTCAGGCTCCTAAGCAATCTAAAGTAAGTGAATGTCACATCCATACATCCATATTACATATCTATATGTACAGATAGACTTTCTACCATCAAAATTGAAACGTCCTGTTTCCTAAGCAATGGAAAGTAAGTGAATNTGGTGGTTTATAATTACTGCTAAGGTGAAAATAACTCAACTAGCAACGGTGCCTACAAAATATATATCAAGTTCTACATCATAGAAATTTCGACAACAAAGCAACTGTGCAATGGCACTCATATGCAACGTAATGCAGAAGATTCGTTAACAAAGGCATAGCAACATCATCATGATTCAAAAAAAAGTCAAGGACCAGTGATCCCTAACTTAAAGCAATATTAATTTATAAAAAAAAAGGAGGTACAAACATACCTTGATCATTTCTAGCAGTGAACACAATCATTGCAGTCTCATCACCAACCAAGCATTCAGCAAGCCGCATTTGGCGTCCTTGAGTTCCTTCGGCACGACCTCTTTGCAATATCATCTTTGCATTCACAACCTTTACAATGAGGTTAAGCCCAGTAGTTGCAGGGCGAAGCTGCTCAACCTTGATGAAAACTGGCTGTTTTTCCTTTCGTTCGGCCATTTGTAACAAAACCCTTAGGCATACAGATTAACATTACAAACCAATCAGACGTTTAAAGAACATACACACACACACAAAAAAAAAACAGTAAAATGGCACAAGGAGCAACAAAGTAGATTCATTCCAAAAAAGGCAACAAAATAGAATCCTTAAGAAACATCAAACTAAAGCTGGCACAAGGAGCAACAAAGTAGATTCACACCAAAAAAGGAAACAAAATAGAATCCTTAAGAAGCATCAAACTATAGCACACGAGGGTGAGAGAGAGAGAGAGAGAGGGNTGATACATAACTACGATCCGTATCGTAACACATCGTACGATACTAACAACTATGGATTTGAGGAATAGTGATTGTTGACTTTTTGTGGTTCTATTTGCTGTGATCAGTGCCAAAAATACTGTTCACATAATGTGAACAGTACCAAAGTTACTATTCATGCCGTGAACAGTGCCGAACTCAATTTTTTATGTCATTTTTGTTGTATTATTGTGTAAGAAACTTCAATTTGTTATGGATATTTGATTTGCAAAGCCGTTGAGTTGATTTGTGGTGAACTTTTGACTGTTTGGCATTGGCTGCTTCTTTTGGTTCTAGTTTCTGCACTTGGCTTCGTTGATATTCTATTTGGGTCTTGTTTTGAGTTTGAAAACAAAACTTTGACTTTGCACTTATTTTGGATTATTTGAGTTTTGTTTTGTTTGGCACTGTTGTAGGTGGTTTTTGTTGGACAACCCCAATCCTTTGGGTTTGTTGTTTTGGGTTGGTGCTGATTTAGGCTTCTCTCTGTTGGGCTACTGGTTTGACTTTTCTTCTTTCTTTTTTTAGGCATTGTTGTTGGTAGTTTTTTGTTGGACAACCCCAATCCTTTAGGCTGGTGCTGATTTGGGCTTCTCTCTGTTGGGCTAGTTTGGCTTTTCTTCTTTCCTTTGTTGGGCTTTACTTTGTTGGACATTATTGCTGGTGGTTTTTGTTAGATAACCCCAAACCTTTGAATTTGTTGATTTGGACTTTTCTATTGGGCTGTTGGTTTGACTTTTCCTCTTTGTTTTGTTGGGCATTGTTACTGATGATTTTTGTTGGGCAACCCTAATCCTTTTGGTTTGTTGATTTGAACTTCTTTCTGTTGGGCTGCTGGTTTGGTTTTTCTTCTTTTCTTTTTTGGACTTTGTTTTATTGGTCATTGTTGCTTGTGATTTTTGTTGGGCTTTGATTTTTTGTTGAAACCCTCATTGCTATTTGGGCCTTAATTTGTTAAGCCTATACTTGGAGTTTTTGTTGAGTTTATTATTTTCTTCTTCTAAGTCTCTGGAACTTCGTACTTACTCTGATGCGGACTAGGCTAGTGACTCTATAGATCGCAAGTCCACTATTGGTTTCTGTCTCTTCCTTGGTGATTCTCTTATTTCGTGAAAAAGTAAAAAACAAACTGTTGTGGCTCGATCATCTACTGAAGTTGAGTCTCATGCTATGGTCTTCACAACAGCAAAGATAGTTTGGTTGCGTTGACTACTTATTGATCGTTTCTTTACGAAATCTCACACCATCGCACACTTTCGTTTCCTTCTTAGCAAACTCTTGATATTTGATGTTACCACATCATGGGTTTGGGGGAGAATGTTAAAGTATTTATATTCTAGGTAGTTTAGGCATTTTACATTGTTTTGTTGCCCTACTATATAAGGGCCTATATTGTGTATTCTAGATTAAGGAGTATTACAAACTTATTTAGTAATTATCATATTTTCTCTCTCTTTTTGCTCTTCTTTATTTGATCAAAATTTACATAACAGCATTCATGGTAGATCCATAATATAAATGGTACCCTTCCTGCTATATATATAGATGTCAAATAAATTACTTCAAAATCAACCAATCACTATTTTTTCCCGTTTGGCCTTGGGGGGATTTAATTCCACGATCGGAAGGAGGGAGAGCACCTCTTGGAGACCACTTGAAGCCACCCAGGCTAGGCTCATGGTGGTTTATAATTACTGCTAAGGTGGAAATAACTCAACTAGCAACGGTGCCTACAAAATATATATCAAGTTCTACATCATAGAAATTTCGACAACAAAGCAACTGTGCAATGGCACTCATATGCAACGTAATGCAGAAGATTCGTTAACAAAGGCATAGCAACATCATCATGATTCAAAAAAAAGTCAAGGACCAGTGATCCCTAACTTAAAGCAATATTAATTTATAAAAAAAAAGGAGGTACAAACATACCTTGATCATTTCTAGCAGTGAACACAATCATTGCAGTCTCATCACCAACCAAGCATTCAGCAAGCCGCATTTGGCGTCCTTGAGTTCCTTCGGCACGACCTCTTTGCAATATCATCTTTGCATTCACAACCTTTACAATGAGGTTAAGCCCAGTAGTTGCAGGGCGAAGCTGCTCAACCTTGATGAAAACTGGCTGTTTTTCCTTTCGTTCGGCCATTTGTAACAAAACCCTTAGGCATACCGATTAACATTACAAACCAATCAGACGTTTAAAAGAACATACACACACACACAAAAAAAAAACAGTAAAATGGCACAAGGAGCAACAAAGTAGATTCATTCCAAAAAAGGCAACAAAATAGAATCCTTAAGAAACATCAAACTAAAGCTGGCACAAGGAGCAACAAAGTAGATTCACACCAAAAAAGGAAACAAAATAGAATCCTTAAGAAGCATCAAACTATAGCACACGAGGGTGAGAGAGAGAGAGAGAGAGGGCAGATCATAATTAGGAGAATCAATCAAGCAAAGCCTCCCGAGCTTGAATTTTCGCAGGCTTGGTTCGAGTTCATATCAGGGTGTTCATATTCGGCCCAAGCTTGATCACGAGCTTGGATTTTTTCTTGGGCCTGGCTTGGCCAAAGCTGGCTCGAGATCGGCTCAGCTCGTTTTTCACAAAAACAGTATCGAGCTTATGCTCAAACTTTGGATTGGTTCGCATGTAGATTTGAAACCATTCCAAACTAAACCAAATCCTTCCCCCATCTCCAATACAACCCCAAACCACTTTTCAAAATGTGAAGCCTGACCTGTTTCTAGTGTCCAACAGCCCCTTATTCTGATCAAACAAATTCCTTTTTGAAATAAAACCCAACAATTTAACAAATCATTCAAAAGTGGAATTTTCAGGCTCCTAAGCAATCTAAAGTAAGTGAATGTCACATCCATACATCCATATTACATATCTATATGTACAGATAGACTTTCTACCATCAAAATTGAAACGTCCTGTTTCCTAAGCAATGGAAAGTAAGTGAATGTCACATCCATCTGACATTACATACACATAACAGATATACATGCATGGCTTCATACAAAAACGTGCTTTGATTGATAGCAGAAATTGTCAGAAGATGAATGAGATATAAAGCAAACGGAACACAATCAAAGCATAAATAAAGTACCTCCCCTGATTGGCAGATCACAGAATCGGAGTATTTGGAGAAGAGAGAGACCTTGAAGGCAGATCCGGAGAGATAAAGAGAGAGACAGAGAGACTGTCGTGTTGAAAAGGGTTTGAAACTCTTTCCTCATGGAGCGGACCGAATCGGATCGGATCGATGAATGGACTCAACTGGTGCCACCCAGTGGGATTTTGGTTGGGTTGACCCAAATACTTCCAGGCTAACAGGTTTTGTTTTGCAGACATATCCCAGCCCAAGGACTATAATGATGTTACGCGCTGCGAGCGTATTTGGATCGAATTTGGATCGATTTGAATTTAAATTCGATTTTTAAAGTCCAGTTCAAATTTAATCTGATGATTCGATTAAGGGGTTTTTGAAAGTCGATACACCTAATTAGATTTATTTGATAAAAAATATATATTAAAAAATATTTTAAAAAAATGTACACGAGTTAGATACAAAAACATAAATAGTCATTTTAGAGAAAGTGATACATTAAATATCTTCTAGTTTTATAGGAGAACTTTAATATTTAATTCACATTGATTCATGTGTATTTGTTAATATATATATATATATATAAATACACATACAAGTATGTATATATGTGTAAAGTGCAACATTGAAAGTGTAAAGTGTAAAGTATTACCTTATGTCTCACCTTACTTAATGAAAAGTGTAAAATGTTACATGTTAACATTGAAAGTATAACATTTTCACACTTTTCTCAATTAATTAGCATTTTTAGTGTAAGATGAGACATATATATTTTATTTGTATAACACTTTAGGTAATATCTCTCCTTTACCTTGTGTAAATAACTTGTTACATTGTTATTGCTACGCTGTTATTGTTATTTTTAATATTACCCTATAACACTTTACATTTTCCATTAAGAAAAGTTAGACATAAAATAATACTTTACATTTTACATTTTCAATATTACACTTTACACTTTAAAAAATGTTACACTTTACACGTATATATATATAAATATGTATATATTTATATTTTATACGTATATACATATTTGTATATATATAAATACATATATATTTATATTTATACATATATATATATATATACACACAAATACGTATATATGTATTTGTTAATATATATATACATATATAAATACACATATAAATATATTAACAAATACATATGAATCAAGATTCATTAAATACTAAAGTTCTCCCATAAAACTATGAGATATTTAATGCACCACTTTTCAAATAACATACATATGAATCAATAGAGGACAAAAATGTCATAAAAAAATTAGGCAAATTCAGATTGTGTATTTAAATACAAATAAGTATCAAAATTAATGACTTAATAACTCTACATTTTTTATTGTATACTTTTTGCCAAATAAGTCTAATTTGGTGTACCTCCTACAATTTACCCTTCGATTAATTTAATTTTTATGGTTCATATTCAAACTCATTAACAATTTAAAATTCGATCCAATTTGAATAACTTAATTAACTAAATTTTAATTAAATTTTTTTAAATAACTATTTAATTTTTTTAATATTTATATTGAAATATATAAATAATTTGGATTGGATCATAATTAGATTGGGATATAAGTACATCTAAATTCGAATCCGTAAAATATAAGATATTATTTCGGATTCGGTTTTTAATTATCAGTAAAAAAATATAGCATTTTCCTTTTGTATATTTATCCAAAACAATCAAAAATATTCGAAGCATTAATCCTTAAAGTAAAAATACGAAAAATGAGTGTTATGTAAAAGCATCCTTAAAAAAAATTAAGAATTTCTTTAAACGGTACTCTAATTTAATCTACATACAATCTATTTGTAATTGTGTACAATGAATTCTTATCATGTCAGATTTGTATCACAAGGTCACCTAATATGAGATAGTCGGGTTCAATTTTATTCATTTAATAAAAAAAATTAAAAAATAAATCTAATTATGATTTTTTAAACAGTAATCTAGTTATGATTCGAAATAATTCAAGTTAATGTTGAATTGGGCATTGATTGCACAATGACTACAAGTGCAGGCCCAGGCCCAATCTGAGAAACACCAGATAAAAGCGTGGGGGCCGAGCAAAAAGAGATAAGAAGGTAAAACAGTTGGAATCATGGAAACCATTCTCTCCTCCACAACTCTCCAACTCAGACCTCTCCACCTTCCTTCTCTCTCCTCCACTGCTTCCCCATTTTTAACCTCTCCACTAAGAATATGCAGACCCACAAAGAGAACCACTTCTGTTCAAATCAACCCATCTTCCTCAATATTGCCTCTCAAAGTATCTGCTACTTCACAAGCTGCCTCTGCTTCCACTGAGACCTCCACAAGCTCTTCCATACCCTCCAAAATGAAGGCTTGGGTCTACGACGAATACGGAGGAGTCGATGTTTTGAAGTTTGATTCCAGTGTTTCTGTGCCTGAAATCAAAGATGACCAGGTCTTGATCAAGGTTGCAGCAGCAGCTCTTAACCCTGTTGATTTCAAGAGGAGACTAGGAAAATTCAAGGCCACTGATTCTCCTCTTCCGGTTTGTTTTATNCTCAATTAATTAGCATTTTTAGTGTAAGATGAGACATATATATTTTATTTGTATAACGCTTTAGGTAATATCTTTCTCTTACCTTGTGTAAATAACTTGTTACATTGTTATTGCTACACTGTTATTGTTATTTTTAATATTACCCTATAACACTTTACACTTTCCATTAAGAAAAGTCAGACATAAAATAATACTTTACATTTTACATTTTCAATATTACACTTTACACTTTAAAAAATATTACACTTTACACGTATATATATATATATANATTTTTTTAGTTATTTTTTACTTTGTTCTCAATGCACTTGTGCTGTTTGCTCTTTTGGTTCACTGGGTTTTGTTGCATGAAATAGGGCTTTGATTTTTTTTTTTCTGGGGAAGCTATTAGGGGGAAAAGATCAGAAGTTGGATGTGATTGCCTATGTGTATTNTATATATATATATATACACACAAATACATATATATATGTATTTGTTAATATATATATACATATATAAATACACATATAAATATATTAACAAATACATATGAATCAAGATTCATTAAATACTAAAGTTCTCCTATAAAACTATGAGATATTTAATGCACCACTTTTCAAATAACATACATATGAATCAATAGAGGACAAAAATGTCATAAAAAAATTAGGCAAATTCAGATTGTGTATTTAAATACAAATAAGTATCAAAATTAATGACTTAATAACTCTACATTTTTTATTGTATACTTTTTACCAAATAAGTCTAATTTGGTGTACCCCTTACAATTTACCCTTCGATTAATTTAATTTTTATGGTTCATATTCAAACTCATTAACAATTTAAAATTCGATCCAATTTGAATAACTTAATTAACTAAATTTTAATTAAATTTTTTTAAATAACTATTTAATTTTTTTAATATTTATATTGAAATATATAAATAATTTGGATTGGATCATAATTAGATTGGGATATAAGTACATCTAAATTCGAATCCGTAAAATATAAGATATTATTTCGGATTCGGTTTTTAATTATCAGTAAAAAAATATAGCATTTTCCTTTTGTATATTTATCCAAAACAATAAAAAATATTCGAAGCATTAATCCTTAAAGTAAAAATACGAAAAATGAGTGTTATGTAAAAGCATCCTTAAAAAAAATTAAGAATTTCTTTAAACGGTACTCTAATTTAATCTACATACAATCTATTTGTAATTGTGTACAATGAATTCTTATCATGTCAGATTTGTATCACAAGGTCACCTAATATGAGATAGTCGGGTTCAATTTTATTCATTTAATAAAAAAAATTAAAAAATAAACCTAATTATGATTTTTTAAACAGTAATCTAGTTATGATTCGAAATAATTCAAGTTAATGTTGAATTGGGCATTGATTGCACAATGACTACAAGTGCAGGCCCAGGCCCAATCTGAGAAACACCAGATAAAAGCGTGGGGGCCGAGCAAAAAGAGATAAGAAGGTAAAACAGTTGGAATCATGGAAACCATTCTCTCCTCCACAACTCTCCAACTCAGACCTCTCCACCTTCCTTCTCTCTCCTCCACTGCTTCCCCATTTTTAACCTCTCCACTAAGAATATGCAGACCCACAAAGAGAACCACTTCTGTTCAAATCAACCCATCTTCCTCAATATTGCCTCTCAAAGTATCTGCTACTTCACAAGCTGCCTCTGCTTCCACTGAGACCTCCACAAGCTCTTCCATACCCTCCAAAATGAAGGCTTGGGTCTACGACGAATACGGAGGAGTCGATGTTTTGAAGTTTGATTCCAGTGTTTCTGTGCCTGAAATCAAAGATGACCAGGTCTTGATCAAGGTTGCAGCAGCAGCTCTTAACCCTGTTGATTTCAAGAGGAGACTAGGAAAATTCAAGGCCACTGATTCTCCTCTTCCGGTTTGTTTTATTTTTTTAGTTATTTTTTTCTTTGTTCTCAATGCACTTGTGCTGTTTGCTCTTTTGGTTCACTGGGTTTTGTTGCATGAAATAGGGCTTTGATTTTTTTTTTTCTGGGGAAGCTATTAGGGGGAAAAGATCAGAAGTTGGATGTGATTGCCTATGTGTATTACTTTACTTTGCTATTTAATTTCAAATATGTACCTTGTTTCTGCAATATGCAATTTTGGCTAACGCTCTGGATATATAGTAAAAACAACATTGTTGATTTTGTCTGAAATTATTTGGCCCTTGATGTTTTTAGGAAACACTAGATTTTTTTTTTTTTTTGAAAAAAAAAAAAGAGAAGGGGGAGGAGGGATGAGAAAAATGAATTTCCTTTCTCTTGTTTGGTGGGAAGGGAAAATGGATAATTAAATCAAGTGCAAAAGTTTTGAAAGGTTCACTTTTTTTTTTTCTTTTGTTTGTTAAGAGGGAGGACAAGTGAAGGGAAGAGAAATTTTTTTTAAAAAAAGAGAGAGAAAATGAAAATCCTTTACCCTGTTTCAAGAGGAAGTGGGAGGAGTTTGATAAAGTTCCACCCTCTTTTCCATTCTCCCCCCAAACCAAACATGGCATCAAGTAAATCATAGTTATGAGCCACTAATTTTGATGTTTTTGGCTTCTGTTCATGCCTCATTGCATTTGTCTGAGTAGTTTCGACATTATTCATATCTGAAAGGATTCTTTTTCGGTATAGACTGTTCCAGGATACGATGTTGCTGGTGTGGTGGTAAAGGTTGGTAGCCAAGTAAAAGGCCTAAAGGAAGGAGATGAAGTATATGGGGACATACATGAGAAAGCACTGGAAGGACCTAACCAGATTGGCTCTTTGGCAGAGTACACTGCTGTTGAAGAGAAATTGTTGGCTCTGAAACCAAAGAACATAGATTTTGCTCAGGCTGCTGGCTTTCCTCTTGCAATTGAGACGGCATACGAAGGTCTTGAAAGGTCTGGTTTTTCCGCTGGTAAATCTATCCTTGTTCTGGGAGGTGCTGGCGGAGTTGGATCCCTCGTAATTCAGGTAATTTGGTTATAACAGTTCACAGACTCTCCCCAAACCTCATAGTGGTAGGCCCCACCTGCACTGGGCTGCCATCTTTTTCCTTCTAATCATTTGCACCTTCTCCGCTGTGTTTGGTAAACAGTTGCCTTGGTCTGGTCACTGTTAGAATAAATTAAAATAAAAGTTTTAAAAACTACATAACTANGACCGAATCGGATCGGATCGATGAATGGACTCAACTGGTGCCACCCAGTGGGATTTTGGTTGGGTTGACCCAAATACTTCCAGGCTAACAGGTTTTGTTTTGCAGACATATCCCAGCCCAAGGACTATAATGATGTTACGCGCTGCGAGCGTATTTGGATCGAATTTGGATCGATTTGAATTTAAATTCGATTTTTAAAGTCCAGTTCAAATTTAATCTGATGATTCGATTAAGGGGTTTTTGAAAGTCGATACACCTAATTAGATTTATTTGATAAAAAATATATATTAAAAAATATTTTAAAAAAATGTACACGAGTTAGATACAAAAACATAAATAGTCATTTTAGAGAAAGTGATACATTAAATATCTTCTAGTTTTATAGGAGAACTTTAATATTTAATTCACATTGATTCATGTGTATTTGTTAATATATATATATATATATAAATACACATACAAGTATGTATATATGTGTAAAGTGCAACATTGAAAGTGTAAAGTGTAAAGTATTACCTTATGTCTCACCTTACTTAATGAAAAGTGTAAAATGTTACATGTTAACATTGAAAGTATAACATTTTCACACTTTTCTCAATTAATTAGCATTTTTAGTGTAAGATGAGACATATATATTTTATTTGTATAACACTTTAGGTAATATCTCTCCTTTACCTTGTGTAAATAACTTGTTACATTGTTATTGCTACGCTGTTATTGTTATTTTTAATATTACCCTATAACACTTTACATTTTCCATTAAGAAAAGTTAGACATAAAATAATACTTTACATTTTACATTTTCAATATTACACTTTACACTTTAAAAAATGTTACACTTTACACGTATATATATATAAATATGTATATATTTATATTTTATACGTATATACATATTTGTATATATATAAATACATATATATTTATATTTATACATATATATATATATATACACACAAATACGTATATATGTATTTGTTAATATATATATACATATATAAATACACATATAAATATATTAACAAATACATATGAATCAAGATTCATTAAATACTAAAGTTCTCCCATAAAACTATGAGATATTTAATGCACCACTTTTCAAATAACATACATATGAATCAATAGAGGACAAAAATGTCATAAAAAAATTAGGCAAATTCAGATTGTGTATTTAAATACAAATAAGTATCAAAATTAATGACTTAATAACTCTACATTTTTTATTGTATACTTTTTGCCAAATAAGTCTAATTTGGTGTACCTCCTACAATTTACCCTTCGATTAATTTAATTTTTATGGTTCATATTCAAACTCATTAACAATTTAAAATTCGATCCAATTTGAATAACTTAATTAACTAAATTTTAATTAAATTTTTTTAAATAACTATTTAATTTTTTTAATATTTATATTGAAATATATAAATAATTTGGATTGAATCATAATTAGATTGGGATATAAGTACATCTAAATTCGAATCCGTAAAATATAAGATATTATTTCGGATTCGGTTTTTAATTATCAGTAAAAAAATATAGCATTTTCCTTTTGTATATTTATCCAAAACAATCAAAAATATTCGAAGCATTAATCCTTAAAGTAAAAATACGAAAAATGAGTGTTATGTAAAAGCATCCTTAAAAAAAATTAAGAATTTCTTTAAACGGTACTCTAATTTAATCTACATACAATCTATTTGTAATTGTGTACAATGAATTCTTATCATGTCAGATTTGTATCACAAGGTCACCTAATATGAGATAGTCGGGTTCAATTTTATTCATTTAATAAAAAAAATTAAAAAATAAATNATACGAAGGTCTTGAAAGGTCTGGTTTTTCCGCTGGTAAATCTATCCTTGTTCTGGGAGGTGCTGGCGGAGTTGGATCCCTCGTAATTCAGGTAATTTGGTTATAACAGTTCACAGACTCTCCCCAAACCTCATAGTGGTAGGCCCCACCTGCACTGGGCTGCCATCTTTTTCCTTCTAATCATTTGCACCTTCTCCGCTGTGTTTGGTAAACAGTTGCCTTGGTCTGGTCACTGTTAGAATAAATTAAAATAAAAGTTTTAAAAACTACATAACTAATTATTTTGTATTAATTTTTCAGTTTTTAACTTTACTATTGAAATTTAATTCTTGCATGTTTAGGTCATTTAATTATAAAATTGATATAGGCTTAATAGCCTAAAAGTTACATACTAATATATTTTAAAGCATATTATTCAAGAGTCATTAACACGGTGTCTATAAAACAAAGTGGATGTTTTGGATAGAAGATGGATAGTTTTTCCATCTTTTCTATATGCTCTTCTTCTACCAAGTGTTGCTATTCTTTCTATATATTTCTTTTTGCCTATTATTACATTTGCATACCTACAAATATTTGGTATTAGTTTACTTCGGGCAACTTCAATTCAATTCAGATTCATCCTTCCTTCCAGTGGGTGTGACATTGAGGAGGTGCTGTTGCGAGCGTCTGGGTTTAATCTTGGAGTCGCTGGTGTCCGTCAGTACTCTCACGCAGGAAGGCTCTGCTGGTTTAGGACAGTGTTCATATGACTCTTGGACTCGCAGACTGATAGAATCTATAGAAAGCTAGAAGAAGAAGATAAATGTACATAGAGAAATTAAGAGAAACAAAGATTTCTTTTCATACATTCTCTATTGCAGTGTACAAGTATTTATAACCAAAACTTAGTTACAATGTCAGCTAGGATTTAACTAACTAACAGACAGACTTGTAGGTTAGTTGGTGCAACAACAGAATTGCATCCTTTNTTCGTAATTCAGGTAATTTGGTTATAACAGTTCACAGACTCTCCCCAAACCTCATAGTGGTAGGCCCCACCTGCACTGGGCTGCCTTCTTTTTCCTTCTAATCATTTGCACCTTCTCCGCTGTGTTTGGTAAACAGTTGCCCCGGTCTGGTCACTGTTAGAATAAATTAAAATAAAAGTTTTAAAAACTACATAACTAATTATTTTGTATTAATTTTTCAGTTTTTAACTTTACTATTGAAATTTAATTCTTGCATGTTTAGGTCATTTAATTATAAAATTGATATAGGCTTAATAGCCTAAAAGTTACATACTAATATATTTTAAAGCATATTATTCAAGAGTCATTAACACGGTGTCTATAAAACAAAGTGGATGTTTTGGATAGAAGATGGATAGTTTTTCCATCTTTTCTATATGCTCTTCTTCTACCAAGTGTTGCTATTCTTTCTATATATTTCTTTTTGCCTATTATTACATTTGCATACCTACAAATATTTGGTATTAGTTTACTTCGGGCAACTTCAATTCAATTCAGATTCATCCTTCCTTCCAGTGGGTGTGACATTGAGGAGGTGCTGTTGCGAGCGTCTGGGTTTAATCTTGGAGTCGCTGGTGTCCGTCAGTACTCTCACGCAGGAAGGCTCTGCTGGTTTAGGACAGTGTTCATATGACTCTTGGACTCGCAGACTGATAGAATCTATAGAAAGCTAGAAGAAGAAGATAAATGTACATAGAGAAATTAAGAGAAACAAAGATTTCTTTTCATACATTCTCTATTGCAGTGTACAAGTATTTATAACCAAAACTTAGTTACAATGTCAGCTAGGATTTAACTAACTAACAGACAGACTTGTAGGTTAGTTGGTGCAACAACAGAATTGCATCCTTTCTCATGACAGTAGCTGATATATGAGAATTGCTTGTGTGTAGTGCTAGTATTGTATAATACACCTCCTCAAATTAATGGTGGGGGACCAACCAGTAGTTTGTCTCTGAGAAGCAAAAATCTGGCAGAAGATAGACTTTTGGTGAATACATCAGCCAACTGATCCTTAGTAGAAATATACTGGACAGTTAGAGATTTATTTGACACCTTTTCGCAGATGAAATGAAAGTCTATCTTTATATGCTTAGTTCTAGCATGAAACATGGGATTAGATGCAAGTGCCAAAGTTGAAATGTTATCACACCAAAGAGTAGGAGTGTGAGCTGGAAAAAGTTGCAGACTCTGTAAAAGTATTTGTAACCAAAGTATTTGTAACCATTTAAGCTCAGCAGTAGTTTGAGTAAGAGCTCGAAATTCAGCCTCAGTAGAAGACCTAGAGACGATACTCTGTTTCTTTGTAGACCAATGAATGGGATTATCTCCAAGAAAAAGAAGATATCCTATAGTAGACCTTCTGTTATTAGGATCTCCTGCTCAGTCAGCATCTGTAAAGGCTGATAGAGTAAAAGAACTAGGTCTGTAAGAGAGACCAAAATGAGAAGTGCCCTTGAGATACTTCAGAATCCTCTTGACTGCTGCAAAATGAACATCTGTAGGAGAGCTCATATATTGACAAACATGATTGACTGAGAAGGTAATATCAGGTCTGGTAAAAGTGGGATATTGCAGAGAACCAACAATATTTTTGTATAAAGATGGATCAGCTAGAGGAGATCCATCTGATTTGCCAAGTCTAGAAGAAGCAGCACATAGAGTCTTGCATGGTTTGCAGTCAGTCTTTTTGGCTTTTTTGAAGAAGATCAGTAGTATACTTTTGCTGACTAATGAACAATCCCGTGGATATATACTGAATTTCCAATCCAAGAAAGAAATGTGAAGGGCCAAGATCTTTCATCTCAAAAGATTTATTAAGATTTGTCTTAAGAGAAGAAATGTAGAGAGGATCATTGCCAGTGATGATTATGTCATCCAAATAGAGCAAAAGAATAGTAAGAGATCCGTTAATAGTTCTGATAAACAGAGAAGGATCAGTAGGAGATGTAGTAAAAGAATAAGAAGAGAGATGAGTGGTAAATTTCTCAAACCAAGCTCTAGGAGCTTGTTTAAGACCATAGAGAGATTTGTGCAATTTACAAACATAATGAGGAGTTANTGGCATGAAACATGGGATTAGATGCAAGTGCCAAAGTTGAAATGTTATCACACCAAAGAGTGGGAGTGTGAGCTGGA